TCTACCATTTTGCTTTCATATTGTTCACAAAAATCTAACACATTAGACTCACGAGATTTCAATTCCTGGAATGCATATTGTTTTTGGGTAAGATGGTAACCACACTTTTCAACAGATGTGTTTACACGACTTTTCACTTTCTGTAAAGCACAAGTTAGTTCCCCTTGAATTAAAGCTCTTGACACAATATGTGATGACACAGACTCTAGTTCCATAAGTGGTTTATTTATTGCTTCGTTAATTTGAGAATCAATTTGTGATCGAGTTAAACTTTCCATAGCTAACATTGTCATTTGGCCCTTAGAGGACTCTGTTAAATCAGCACTGTCACTAGCACTTACTTCACTTTCTAACACAATTCTTTCAGCTAAAATCTCTGCGTAAGAAGATAAAATATCTTCTGAATGGTTATCAATGTTTAAATGTCGTGTTTCAAGGTCAAGATGCTGATGTAAAACCAGAATTAAATTATTCAGATTGTTAATTTCACTCAACAAAGGATTAGAGCAAGTATTTTCAGTGGATTTATTTTGTAGCAGCGAGGCCATTTCACCTAAAACCACAGCTTCTAACGAGACTCGATCAGCAAATAATCTTAAACGATCTTCCTGAGATACTGGTTCTAGCTTGGAGGTTTTCTGTTTCATTATGGCTGAATGTTGTTTTGTCATTTTATCTAAAACTTTCCAATCAAATGAAGACAATTTTGAATGTTCTTCCACGAATTCCAGTAAATGTGATAATTTTTCACGAACATCATCAATTGTGGTTTCATCTTCATCCTCTGTCTCTGATTCAGAAGAATCATCATCAATGGCATCTAACTGTTCACTGATTCCAATAATTCGACCTCGGATTTCTCCCAGACAATCTTCAAATGCCACCTCTTGCCGAGAACTGTCTGTTCTCACCATATCATCATTGAATTCACCACCAACTTTTTCTAAATTTGTAGTGAAAGAATCAATTTTCTGAACATATTGCGACACTCTTTTTTGTAGATGTTCTTCTGGTTTTCGTTCAGGTTTGTTACCTTTCTGAGGAGTAAGCTCTTGGGAAATGTCCTTAGATTTGGCATTAATGTGATCTAGTTGTACTTTCATATTTTTTAACTGATCAATGATTTCATTGGATGAAACAGACATTCGTGATTGTTTTGTAGTTGGTTTTGTTGAATTATTCACAGATAGGTTCTTTTCAACCTCAGCAAACTTACTGTCTAATTCATCTAAAAGTTTTTCTATTTGATTTGAAAGGCCAAACAAATCTAGACTAGAAGCTTTGTTAGGCTTGGCTTTAGAGGGTGTACCTGGATTCTTTAATTGGTCTAATTTATTTGTTAAAGATTCAACTCGTGACATCATGGATTCCAGTTGGGTTTTGTAAGCTTCTTCCATATCACGAACTTGAGATTTCATCATTCTATCATCTTTTTCTAACTGATCATAATTACTGTACACATTTGTAACTTCTTTTCTAAGTTTCTTCAACTCTGTCACAGCACAATCAAATTTATTTTTCAATCCCTTGTATTCAGAGAGAATCTCTGCTGGGTTAGATTTAGAGTCTACAGTAACATGATGAGTGTATTCTGGTAAAGATGATGAAACTGGTGACATTGGAGGTGACTCAGGAACTTCTTGTAAAACATCCTGGACTCCTTGACATTTACGCCCAATATCTTCAATCATATCTGCCAATGAAATTATTTTGGTCAAATTTTCTCCTTGCTGAGTAGCTAAATATGCATCAAATTTTTGCCGTAAGCTGAGCAGCATGGAGTTGACATCTTTGAGTTCTGAATCAACTTGTAAAACAGTATGGAGTAATTCCTGGCTGTCTAGATGTCCTGAAGAACGAACTGATTCAGTTTGACGATCAATCACTTCAAATTTCTCAATCAGCCGTAGTTGTAGAGTTTGTACTTGTTGATTCAAATCTTGGATGGTTTTCTGGAGCTTTTCTTTTTCATGCACATCTGCACTGCTAGTTGATTTCCCACTTTCTTTTTTCAACTGCTCAATAATTTTCTTCAATGAAGTATTTTCTGATTCCAGTTTGATCAGTTTGGATTGGACAGTTTGAAGTCTCTCTAATTTTTGGATCAGTTCCTGTTTTTCTTCATGCAGTATATCAACATTGTTACTAAGGTCAGCATTTTCACTCAATTCTGCTTGTAGTTCCTCTGTCATGTCTCCAATTCTACGTTCTCGTTCTCGAAGTTTTTCTTCCAGTTGTGAGATTATATCATTCTTTTCATCCAAAATACCTGCCATATTGTTTGTTATTGAGTCAGTCATTGTGGTTTGTCTTTGATGTGCAGCACACAATTTAGATTGGAGTTCCTCTATATGATTTTCCAAAGCATCTTGTTCATTAGAATTTGATTTTTCCAATTCTTCAAGTTCAGACTCCAGTTTTTTACAATGAGTTTCACGATCACGTAACTGACTTTGTAAAGACACAATATCATGTTCCTTATCATCAAATTTTTCTTTTAAAACCCGATATTCATGTTCAACAGCTTTCAGTTTCAAAATTTCACGTTCATATTCACGAGTTTTCTGCAGGGCACCTTTCATATCTGATTCCAATCTACGACACTCTCGTTCTTTGCTGACAAGATTTTCTTTGTTACGCTCTAATTTGTATGAAGTGTCTTTCAACTGTCCTTCAAGTGTTCTTATTCTACGATTCCATTCATTTGTCAGCTTCAGGAAGCGTTCTTTTTCTTGCTTCAGTTCTTTCAGGGCCTCAGACAATGCCTTCTCGGTACCAGTAAGTTTAGAAACAGACATATCTAATTTAGATTTTAAATTATCAATCTCATTTTTCTGTCTTTGTATAGCATCTTTGGAATCTTTCATCTGTCTTTTCATTCCTTGTAACTAGAAAAAAAAAAGATAATGAAGAACAAGTCATATTGTACATCACTGTCATCAATGGGTTTGGAGAGCTAAGATGAATGACAAGTTTTGTGGGGAGTAGTATGGGAATTTTTTTTTAAACCATTACTGTAAAATTATAATAAAATAATAATAATCAAAGATAAATGTATGGTTACTTTACCTGAGAAGCTTCCAGTTGTTTACCACTGCCCCATCTATCTGATGACACCTATAATACAACAAAACATTTCTATAAATAGGTTTACCTTCACTGACATTCAAAGATACATCTTCATATACATTCTGCACCGACTTCAACTTCCACAGATAGAAGTTCAAATGCGCGGACAATCATCTCAAACATCTTTGTCTTTGACTTATTTTTCATAGTACCATCTTCAGATTGTTATAATCCTCTTTAGTTCTTACTAATCTACTCTCTATCACATAATCTTCTCATCTCAATCAATCATCATTCATATATAATCCTCAATCTGATCAAATTACAAATCAATATTTTGTTTCATGTTCTTCAATGGGTTGGTTCACTCATTGTAGTCTATAGTAGCTTTAAAATCGAGTTTATAACTTATGGTAACATATCATACCAGCAAGAGAAAAATCAACAAACCTCTGAATCAGCTGTTTGAAGACGATTTTTCAAATCTTGGTTAGCTTCTTGCATTTTTACTAATTCTTCTTCTTTATTGTCCAAACTTTCCTTTAATGATTCAACCTGTAAGTAAATGTAATACAATATATTTTACATTGAGCCTCTAACAATTACATAAAAATACACAGTATGTTTTGCATTGAGTTATTTAAAATCAGTCAGAAAGTAAATTATTTCTATTAGGTTTTACTTTTAACATAGCAACTTTAGCTAGTGTCTAATGACAGCCTTCATGAACATTATTTTGTTTTTGACTTAACTGGATGACCAATCAAATTTCTACCCTTCTCCAGCGCTGGCATTTTGAAAAAGGTTATTTTGACAAACATTCAAGAGGGCTGTCAATAGACTCAAACTGAAGTGGCTATATCAAAATTAAAAGCTTATAAAAATAAGTGAATGATTGGTCTAATCTTAATAAGACTAAAATGTGACTGCATGTTTTGCACCTTTCTAAAATAATTATCAACATACCTCAGTCTCCAGTATTTCTACCAGCATACCATCTTTAGTTTTCTCTCCTCCACCATCAACTTCATCAGGTGTCTCCATAGCATCATGATATAATTCCTGCAATCAGAGGTCAGACATCCACATTTATAATTTGTTATTATACCAATGATGCAAAGTGTTCACATGGATGATTTCAGTATTATCTTATTTTGGATAACATAGAGAGTTTTAAAATATTTTACCTGTGTGATGTCATCATCAGATCCAATAGATGTTTGTTGTTCAGGTAAACTGTAACTAAATCCTTCAACAGGTGGTGGTGAATGAAGTCTTGGTGATTTAGAGGATCGAGACTTTTCTTTAATTCTGGCACTTGGTGATTTCCCTCTGTGTAACTTATCTCTTCTGTCTTCTTCTCTCTTAACATCATTCGACATATTTTGTTTGGATCTACGTGGATGATCACCTTGTAACTCATCACTACCTTCTACATATCTCCTGATAGATCCTGAAGATTGTGACCAGGATAATGAATCCTGACTGCTGGTGCTTCCATGATGGCGGGGAACTTTGGATCTTGTCCGGTCCTCATCTCCTACCTCAGAAACAGAACTGGTTCTACTAGAGCTAGCGGTTCCTGTTTGACTGTCATTACTAACTGTAGAGGAAGATGACATGTTCAGATTAGGTATATCCAAAGCACCACAAAATTCTGAGACGGACAGAACTTTACTGACATTTCCAGGATTGACATCAGAATGATGGCGTCTTGCATTTTTAAGTGAGTCTCTTTTATTAGCATCTCGTCTTCCAACCAATTGAAATGCAGTTTCACCAGAAGGGTTTGTGACAGCCTGAGTGTTGCCAGAAGCACTGTTGACATCAAAATCATCCACTGCTCGAGTTGTCAGACCCATTAAAGCTTTACCAGTTAAAGAAGAAGCATATTTCTGTTTGGCGCCAGAATTGTGAAGGTCCATACATAATCTCAGAGCTTTCATCCAATTGTTGCGAATCCCAGAAGTCATAGCTGCCAGCTGATATTCTCCATTTCTTGTCTACAAAACACATTTAGATCATATCAGTAAACAATCATGATGCTTACTAGACAGGATTTAATCTTTGAATTGATCATTTTTATTTAAAGACCAAAACTATAAAATCAGTTACTAGTTAGGGCTGTTGAGCAAATTAAATTTTGTAATTGTAGTTGTGTAGTTTTCTGGTTTGGCAGCTTTAGACTTATTTCAAACATAAACAACCTACCTTAATTTTAAGACCATAATTTCTAGGAAGATTAACTTCTGAGACTTCGTAGCAAGTGGACAGATCAATTCTACCATCCAGGTTATTAGCGTCTTCTGCCTTGGCATCTTTATAGTAGTGTAATGAATTACCAGCCAATACAAACCAATGTTTCTTCACATCCTGTAGTGTATCAAATAGGAAAATGTATTGTCAAATTGGTCTGAACATTATTGGGCATGAATATGACGACATTCAACATCATACCATTTAATCAATCACATTGCCCTCTTTTTAACACTGTCACAGGTTTCCATTACTTGGCTTTCTCATAATAAGCGTGTCTGCCATTACATTGTTATCGTTGTTAGTGATATATATTAATTTTGTTATGAAATATAAATCATGACAACTCAACATCAAAATGCACTTCTATATTAGTTACTAAACTATCACAATTCACTTAGAAAATGAACTAGTGATGGTAACACCAAAACCGGTACATTCACAATCTCATTCCTTTTAATAGACTTCAGTTGCATGCCTTTCTTAAATGAGAAATCCAGAACAGAAATAATTACCCTTTCTGATTTTCCCAGCTTGATCAACCACCCTTTCTTCATGTAGACCAAATCCTACAATCATAATACCATTTTAATTTTTCTGAGATTTTTTAAAATAAAGATCTAGAAGCTAGAACCCATTTGGGAATACATGTCTAGTGTTTTTATATAGTAAGAACACACATATGCTTAAAATTACAAAACTCATTCACATGCAATGTATGTTTTCCTTTCTGATATCATATAAGGGCTACTAAAGATAATCTTTGGAAAATACCCAAAATGTTTAACAAGTTTCATCAGCAACTAACAATAGAAAAGTGCCATTGTATATCTATATATCACAATGCTATAATATTCTTTCGCAAAGTATTCAATGTACTGGGTACTTCTAGGTATTTTGATGAATATCTTTACATTTAATAGCACAATATATATGATATCAAATATTTAACAAATGAAAATTCATTGACTCATTTATTACTGCTTTCCAGCATGGCAAATAACATTTTCTACTTTTATACCTATGCTACCAGAATTACTATATAAATATTTGCAAAGGTGCATGCAAGCAGGGTGCAAAGGGTGGATACAAGACATGCTTTTAACATATGTTATAATTCCAATAGATATTTAAGTTTTCAAAATTAGAGCTCTTACAGATATCAAAGGACGTTTATTTATACTTGCCTCAAAAATGGAATTGGATTGGTCAGGGAGGGGTTGAACATTAGTGTTAGAACGACCAGCTGAATTTAATTCTGTACTTCGTGCCATCTAAAATACAGGTTACATTTCATTTTAACAATTATTATACAATACAACTAATTCTAGTCTTGTGATTGAAATTCAATACATTCTGTTAAAACATTCACTCAATTTCCATCAAAACATATAGTTCTTTAAGAAAAAATACTCAACAAATTAAATTATTGATATTTAGCTGGGAAAGAGCAAGCTGTAATTAAAAATGGATGCTGGATTGTTGGATGCAAGGGAAAGCAATAAAATACAAAGATAATTACAAAGGTAGCTATCTAGAGTCAAATTTCAATCAAATGATTTGAATCAAGACAAAAAACTTGAAACCATAATGTATTGATGAAATGTTATATTAAAAGTTATATTTCCATTATTATATACATAGTCTACTTTATCTCCATTAACACGATACAGGAAATAAATAGCACTAAAAAGGCCCTATTTACCTTCAATTCATCTGTTTCATTGCTTTCAGTATCATCATCTCTTGGTGAGTCTAATTGAGAGTTATCTATTCCTGATGATACAACAGATCTTAAAGAATCGTCATGATTATCTCTTGGTAAGGATAAGGTAGTCGGAAAATCCTTCAGACTTGTTGATCGCTCACGATGAACTTTTGACCTTTCAATGGCTGATACACTTTTACTTCTTGATTTGTTGTCATCTTGTGCTGCACGGTGTAATGAGCTCTGTAGATTGATGCTTGGTGTCGGTGTACTGGTGTATGGTGTAGATGACAAAACAGATTTATTGGAAATTCTTCCAGAGTGATGCCATACAGTTCTTGGAATTGTAAAATATGGATTGGAATAATTTGGATTGGATAGAATTTCTGAACGACTGCTGAGTGGATGCTCTGAATCAGAATTACGAAAATAGTTCAAGTTATCACCAGAGCAGCTGAGATATTTACTAGTGACAAGGTCCCCACCTAATTCTTTATCTTCTGTTGATAGATCATGTAAACTACTGCTCTTTCTTAAACCATCCTGATAGTTTTTATCATATTTATGTTTTAAACTACGTACACCACGATATGTGGAAAAAGATGGCAACTGATTTTTCACTTTTTCAATTTCAAATCTGCTTGTAGAGGGCTGAAAAATCAGACATCAGTTATTTAATATTTAAATTGTGTAATCTTTATTAAAATAGAATTCATCATAAAATTGAATTGACATAAGACATAAGACTGCACGTCTCCCCTACCTATAATACTAGTTGGTTGAAGGCTTCTTGGATTCAAAAACCTGATTTGCCACAACCTGGCATTACCATGAAATCTTAAATATATTACCTGAATATTTTCTTTGTTACTTAATGGTGGTTTACGTCGTGGTTTAATGATAGATTTATTTATTCGTGGATATTGTATCAGTACATCAAACCACCTGGAATATATACAAACAAAGAATCTTAAAACAAATCAGACAGATATAACATACAATAGTCTACAAATCACCTAAGACCTTCTGCAGCACTGTCATCACTTTCCACAGTGTTACCAACTTTCTCAAATACAGCTATTATACAGTTATATATCATGACTTGACATATTTGAATTTTGATAAGCCCTGGAAGTAACATCATTCTTCAATGCTATCTATATCTCTTATGAGGTGTATATATATTTAGCAAAGCCAGGTCATTCTAAGATGTTGATTTTCCAATTAATGTAAAACCATTATAAGAATTACTGGTGTTTATTTTGTTTCCTGTTAGAAAAGAATAACCTTCTAGCTTCAATGTGGTTTCAGTTTCAACCTTTGTGTTTATCATATTAAAAAATATTATATTCTTTAACATATAATTATTGTTTGACATGCATAATTTTCAGTGAATATAATATGCATTGCATAGATGTGTGTTGTGTGACTTTATTAGCATATTCAAATGCTTCTACAAGCAAGTATTTAATTTATAGTCTTCCATATTTAGAATATTATCATTTTTTTTAGGTTTATGTGTCTTACATGACAACAAACATGTAATATATGTATATATAATATGTATAATTTCACTTATGATACAATCTTCAGAGTTATAAATAATAATGAATGTCACCTTGTCATATAAAATATAACTTATGTCTTGTCCACATGCAACATTTTAACATTTTGATATACATTATAAAATATATTACAAAGCTTAGTTAAACATACAACATATTATTACACGTAATATAGGTGTGAAGTTCCATCATGACAGAAATAAAAAGGAAAAAGTAGGATAATTCAATATGAAATTAATTAGTAGGATATTTTTATTCCTACTTCTACCAGCAATAACATATTGAAAACAAGAACTGTGCAGAATGAGTTGACTTGAAATAGCCTAAAGATGTCTATAGCAAATACACTGAAACTTATTGGAAGTAGGAACATTTTCATTCTATACATCTATTAGCAATTGGGAGTCACATTACACATAATGTGTGCACCATGCGTGCAACAAACAATTCTGTGAAATGAAAATATACCAATTCTGAAAAATAGCAAAACCAACATAAAGCTGTAATAGTGCATTATTAAGTTTTAATAATAATTACATCAGATATTTTTAATCAAAATGGGCAGGTATTGCTGTAATAGAAGCTGGTCTAAATAATGTTTCGCAAAAAATATTCAAAAGTTCACAAGTGTGACTGTGATATAACTGTCAGTTCAGTAAAAATATCTACTGATAAAAATTCAAAAGTTGAAGTGGCTGAAAATTTAAATGTTTTAATAGGTCATACTTTGACCTATTTCATTTATGAATCAAACTGAATGATAAAACTTGTTTAGTATGATGGCTGTTAAAATTCAAATATGAGGATTGACAATAGACGAATTTATGTTAATGCCTTTTTTTAAATTCATACCAAAAGCGTTAAAATTTTCAAATTGAGCAGTCATTTTGACATAAGATCTGATTGTGCGAAGGATAACTACCCAAATTAAGGCTATCTGACTGTCCCAGAGTACACAAGGTTCCACGGTCAGGTCTCACATATTGGAAAATGCCAGGGCATTCCTAACATTGATGTAGAAAAGAAGGGGATTAGTATATCTGAATGTTATATAGATATAAATCTATAACTGAGGGATTAATTCTGATACCCTAAAACCACACCCTGTATCTCAAAGCAATTCTTCTCAATGGAGAAGATTACCTCTAGATCACTATACCATAGAACCATTTAACTTAACTAAATCCATCTTCAATGCCATATAATCCTGAAATCAAACAAACTTTAACAGCAATTTAAATTCCCCATTATTACTTGTATTTAGAACCTAGGTAGACTGATTAATATAACAAAATCTATAGAATCTAAAATCTTTTTCATTTTTCCCAGAATCTTACAGTTATAATCAGTGTAAATAATCAACTAATGATATCAATGCAATCTTTTTCATTTGTCCCACAATGATACATATGACTTAATGAATACAAACATTGAAGTATATTAACATATACTGCCCCCCTTTAAGAAGAGATAAAGTTGATAAGTGTTGATCAAATAAACTTGAATCATATTACACTAGGTGGTATGATAAATCATACAATCACACCATACTAGGCTTTTATCAACATATATATTAATCTTATTTTATAAACATCTTACCATTAATCTATTTCTTATTAGGTCAGTAGTCAAAAAGTTTGAGTTCCATTATAGAAATAATATAAATATCCCAAAACTACCCTTAACACCTAATACTACTAGAACAGCTGTGTCTAAAAACTGCAACTTTCTTTAAGAAACATGAAATTGAAGGTTTGCGAATCCTTTTTAAAAAATAGTTGTATTAACCTTAAATTATATTCTGGTAAAACTTTGCTTCATTCATGGGCATAAGAATGGTTTCCGTTGTTTTGTGGTGTGAGTAGATTAGAAGTCTGTATATCAAAAGTTTCTGTTGAAATGTATTTTCATTTATAAACTGGCCAGGTGTTGTTATTTCAAAATCTGAGCCAGGAGAGTGTGACCAATACTGAGAATAATCTAGCAGGTCATCTGTTTAACTAGAAGTCAGATCAATAAGCTCAGATATAATAAAAGGATAAATTACAGTTGGTGTTATCAGGAGATGCACCCAAGAGGTCAATACAAGAAGGGATATGTTACAGGAGGAGATATCCCTGGGGCATACAGATCTAATCTAACATCACCTCAGTTTACAAAACATGTCAATCAACTTACTTCAGATTACAATCTTACAGTTAGGGAGAATTTTAAAAAATATGTCATATTTTGGACTTCAAGTCAGGATTGAATAATAGGATTTTTTCAAATTGGACGAGATCAAATCCATGCCAACATGTAAAGAAGCTGAATAAAGATTACCGTATGTCTGAAATCTTGTGTATAATAATTCAACTCCGACTACTGATTATATTCAGTTGGTTGTATTCAATTACTCAAAATGGTCAGATTCAATATCATCATTATCAAACTTTGATTGCTATCTTATATCAGCTGTGGATTTTATGAATTGAATGATGTTAACTGGACACTGCAACAATTTTATGATTTTATTTATGAAATTATACAATTTTCTTTCACTTGATACTGTTGCAATTTGAAAGTTTTGAAAGTTTTGTCAAGTTTCACCAGCTGCTGTAAATTAATATAGAATGTACAGCTTAAATAATTGAAATGTTTTTATTCCGAGCTAAACAGTTATTTTATGTGTTATATGATATTTTTTGTTATTTGATTCTCTTCATTATTTGAATATAATGAGATAGAATCGTAGTTCAGCACTATAATTTAGAACAATACGAAGTAAGGGATTCTATTGAAGAGTTGTTAAAGGGAGATAATAATAGGGTATTTGATTATTTTGATTACAGGTGTAATATAATACAGATATAATTAAATTACAGATCTCCCACATTGTCAATATGACAGATTATAAACAATTAGCTTTTAAAAACATCACTTATCACTGATAGAGGCATATATCAAGAAAGAATACATAAACCACATATCATAAACTATTGTAGAAGTAGTTTATATATAGTCAAACACACTTACAAGAATGCATCAACCAAAATATTCAATAAATGGTGCTGAAAGAACTTTTTATTTTCATATCTCCAACTTGATGCCTACAGAATTTGCATCGAGTTTATTTCAAAAGCCAACTTAACAAAAGAGCTATCATGTATAGCATATATCATATAGAGAGATAACAGCTTTGATCGATTACGTATGATCTATAGATGAAGAGATAGTATAGCTAGTATTTTCAACTGTAAAATTACTGCTAAAAATACATTAATATTAAGTTGGATTATAAAAGTCACAGACCCAGTTGAAAATCAATTTCTTTTAAAATAATGAATCCATATTTGAAGTGATTTTTGTCTAAGGTTAAAGAGATTAATATAAACAGCTGATACCAAGCAAGATTATACAATATGAAAATACATATAATATACAGAATGCATGTAATTCTGAAAATAGCGAAAAAACAAATTTAACGTAATGAATATAACTAAAATAAATAACTGATCTTTCACATACTTATTTGATATCCTATAATAACCATATTAGGAAATGGTCAGTGAGTAATCAAGGTCACATGACTTGAGGTCAGATTCATTAGTACCTAACTATCAATGAGAAAACATACGCAAGACAAATTAGACTACACCCATTTCTAATGACCTTTAATTTAGGCCCTCCTTCCTTATCTTGTATATCTACCTCATAGTAGGAGTTTTACCTTTATTTCACCTTTAACTGACCTAAATACTTGTTAATTATTGCAAAAAACAAACAAATAAGTAAGACGTAATATGTACACACCTGTTTTTTTTTTCAGAATGAAATCAGAAAAATGCGGATACCCACACCTAACCGCTAACCACTATGATAGATAATATTCATATTTAAAATAGGTCATGCGTATCTTATACTTTAAGCATTAATACATTGTATAAATTTGACATCTATCTCATTATACAGACTACTAGTTTAAAACGGTGCAGTAGTATCTTTACTACTACATGACAGTTGACAAGAGATTACTAGCAGTAGTATGTTTTTTACGTTAATAATCATACCCTAACATTTATTCTTTATAGAAAAGAGCTAGGATTAAAAATGCAGTTCATGCATTTTAAACATTGTATATAACCTACAAGTCTCGTTGAAAATAATTCACAGTATAAAACAATATTATAGCCAGTAACATAGATGTATAACAAAAGTTTAAAAAAACAATGTTTCACATAGCAGAAAGATTGTAGAAGTTCAGAATATTATTCAAAGGTAAAGATATATATGAGTAAAACTGGCAAATATTTCAACACATCTATGGTATAAATGACATTTTTGAAGGTGAAAATTTTTATTCACTAACAAAAATATTTTAGCACATGGATGACAAATGACTGGCAGAATTAGAAAATAACAAAAAACATGCTGACATGTTGGTTATCTTAACCTAAGCGCATATTATTTTATTATGTAGGAGATTTATCAGATGTTTTCTTGTTTCTTTTACTACACGAACCAATCCAACCTTCTTAAACCTGTGCTAGAAAGTTTGTAGAACTGATATTGTAATCCTGAACTCCCATATATATTTTTCATATAATTCTAAAATTCTTCACAATTTCTGATCAAAGTGGGTGTTAAGTTGTAACAATCAAGATGTTAGATGAAAAGTAAATGACGTAACCTAATTTCTTTTCAATGAAAATGTATATTGGTTTACTCACCAGCGTTTCAAGTCAGCTTTAATAATACATTGTACGAGGTTTAGAATTGTGGACTGTAGGCGTTCATTGTATAATTATATGCATTAAGTCAATAGTAATTTATCATTCAATGTTTTCTATGCACTTGCATTTTGTTTTCTTTGACAATCCCCCATACATCAATGTATGTTTTTTACAACCCAATATTGAATAGGTGACAGTTATTAAGTAAGCTCGTGAATGAATTCTATAATCTGTGAGAAGATTTTCACCATTTTGTGGATATGTGAAAGTTTTCTTGTGGTTATAAAATTGATGTGTAAGAAAGGGAATTTACAAGATACCCTAAGATATACCCTAAGGAAACAAAATATAGAAATATGTAGGTGATATCCTTATAAGCCTTGCAGAGAACAATTCCTTGATTGAACTTCGCCCTTTTCCTCTGTTGTTGCCACCATATGAACAAAAATGTTATATATTATTTGGAGTGATTGAATCATGAATAAGAAATATCACTTACCATTGTGATTCTTCCTTAGATTCTCCTTTAATAAAGTGAGTTTTTTCTGGAGTTACAACACCAATAGCATTGGGATGGGATGTAGATTTTTCAGCATCTATTACATCAACACATTTATTCATATCAATAACTTCCTGAGGTACTGTATTAATCTGAAATAAACAATATCCAATGAACATTACTTGGCTAAACCATCTCCTTTATTCACTGAAATGAATAGAATTGCTAAGAATTAAAGTCTGAGTTTATCAAATATATTAACCGGTATTTTTTTATGTTGGCCAACAATTATTTCATCACAATAAAAATTGCACCAAAGTTCTTTATGTCTCTTTTCAATATACTTTGGTTTTTCTGTACTTAATTACATGCTAAGAGAATCTAAGAGTTCTTTGTCAAACAAATTGATGAAACTTTGAACTATAAAATGAAGAGTCAACTACAAGATTTGTAAGCTGGGAATAGAGGAGTATTAGGACAGACTGATGTAACAGTTTGTGAAGGCTGTATTGAGTTGAGATTCTTCAGGCTAAGTAGACTAGGTACAAAAAATTCATATAATCATATTTGGATGAAAACCCATGTATATATCATGCCGACGAACTGATATGGCAGGTTTTGATTTAATCAAGGACAATAACCATTAAGCCTTAAATATTATCAACTTCAAACTTGTCTGAGGCATCATTATTTAATAACCCTTATTGAAACATATCAATCCACATAGGCATAAGTTTCATACAACTCAGATGGTTTCTATGACAAGAAGTTTGGATGAACACAGAGCAGGGACAAAACACATACATGTAGTCGTAGAAAATTCATTAACTAGTGTGTTTTAACAGGAGTATATATATGTTGAATTGGTGTCTTCCTGTTAATTCTAATTCCCATTTGAGCTAGGGTTTTTTTTTTTCCCGTTAAAGCTGCTGTGATATTTAAAGAGATTAACTATTCTCTTTAGTGCTACTTAGTGACAAAATTCGAAATCTAATATGTAGGTGAAATTCCCTTTAACTAATAAATTATAAATAGGATGGTCAATAATCAAAAATAACAACTCATTTGACCATAAAATATTTTATTACTTGATCCCCTATGGCTAGGTTTACTATAAGATTTCAACAAAATACCATAGCTGTTTATATTTAGAAATGACCTTGAAATGAAAATTCTGTTTCTTCTGTTTTAAATTGGAATCAAGCATAATTGCAAGGAATTATAACTTTCAACATGCCAGTTCAAATATAATGTACATCTAGGTTTAGAATGTTGAAATAAGAATTTTATGCTTTAATAACAGAAAAATAGATTGGCTTTTCCTGTAAGTCATTTTTTAATGTAAGTCATTTTTTAAATTATTTCTTATCAATGATTAAGGTAATCAAAAAGTCAAATCTCATCAGAGATATATTAATGCATGTAAACAAAACCAGTAGTATATGTCAAATGTGCTTGGAAACAATAAGTTATTGTTAAAACCCGAGTACAAATTAGATCTAAACTAGACAAGTTTATCTGCCTTTAAAAAGTCTACAGTTAATGTCTCTTGAAATTTCTTCTATTTGGACAATACCAATGAAAGCTTACGGCTGATGTTTTTGTCTATTCTTAAAACAAGCACTTTTCTCACAAACAAACAAATTAATTAGCTTATTCTGTGTCCTGTATAATTTGTTGTTTTTTTTACTGATGTCATTAAAGTATGGTCAATCTTTAAGATCTGACGTACAGTACGTCAAGTTAAATAATGACAAATTAGGCCTTGATAGATTCGGGATAGAAAACTGACGAAGCAGAAAAGAATAACAATTTTGTTTATTTCAAATGTATATCTAATAAGAAATTTGGATAGTTAAGTTGGCGTAATAAGAAAGAACAGGTGTGTATGTCTCATACAAGACAACTGCATGTAATCTGATTTCTTACATAGCTCGCAAGGTACATTTTGACACACTTTGATCTTAAATCAAGATACCTTGCCAAACCTTGAGGAGTAATTTCATCTGATGACGACACATGAATATTGTTTTGAAATATTTTTGTTATTAAAGTAATCAGTTATACTATGGATTTATTTTTTATTTTCATGTGACTGGATGAAAATAGAACAAACATTTCAGCACAAAAAAGGTGCATATTTGATAAAATTTCAAGGATAGGTCATATCATAGTACTTTTTACTGTTTACAAAAGTTAACACATGCATAAATTATTTAACATCTGGATGCGTTTGTAGATTATTGAAAAACAACAAAATATCTTTTTGATAATAACACCATATCAAATCACCTTTTGATGTGTGAATGCCTAGACAATTAACTAAAGCAAATAATTAACATCCAGAGAGTAAAAGGAAAATGAGAGCCAATGATAGGCATAATTAAAGCTGATGTCAGCAAACCAATGTAATGATATTGCCCTCTCATTAAAGTGTTAATATAAGTGCAATATTAATTATCAGAATTCATATCATCTGATGTAACAGCACAAAGTGAAAATTAAACATTAGTGCAATGTAATGATGACAACTATTTTTACAGAGTTTCAATTTAATCTAGATCATAAACTGTTGTTGAAATGTTACACTGCATGCAAAACCAGCACTTTTTTTATCTTAAAATATAAAATAAACAAAATGACCTTTGACGTCAGTGAGACCTAGTTATTATTAACACCTTTCATTCAGGTGTTAATCAGAAAGACATATTAAGTACATTATCAAGGTTGATATATTGCTTATAAAACCAGATTAATTTAACTATTTGTGATTGATAACGCTTTAATATCAACTTAATTTATCTCACCTTGTACCTGATCTAACTGACCAATCAGAAGATAGACGTTAGTTATTATACCAACAATTATTGGGTTATTAACTAGATTGTTTCTATCATTGACGTCATATTTCAACTGTCACTTATAATATGACTAATAAACAATCTGACTGTTCAATTCAAGGTCTTTGGATATCAAGGAATACAGGATGTGTTAGCCTTCATATATTTGCAGCTACAAACTAAGTTTTGGAAAGGTCTGTTACTCAAATAAGCAAAGATGGATTCCTTAACTAAAAATATCAATATGAACTGTGAATTGTGGTCAATAACAATTATAGAAGTCCACCTTGACCACCATTAATTCAGGTCAGAATCACTGCAAAAAATACATCTCTAAAAAATTTGTTTTAAACACAATTTTGATGTAATCAGTATAATCAAAAGTTAAAATCTAGAAAACAAGAAAGGTGGGGGTACCCGAGTTCAGATTTTGTCATTGATTCCATGAGGTTGGAAAGTTTTCAATCTAATGATCCAGTGGAGTTCGCTGGAGCGCCTGATGGTTGTTGATTGTGACAAATCCGGGTTGGTGTCTAATTGTTTGATGATCTGGTAGTCGACGTTTCGACTAGAATGGCTCGGTTGATGGAAGTGGGCGGAGACGGGGGTGTCTCTGCTGTGTTTGATATCAGCAAAGTGTTCTTTCAGCCTGATGCGAAATTGTCGTTTAGTCTCGCCAACATATTGTTTCTGACAAACGTTGCAGGTAAGGAGGTATATAACGTTTCTGCTAGTGCAAGTCCAATCTTTGGGACTGTTGTAGGATTTGCCAGTGTTGGTGGAGCGGAAGGTTTTTTTAAGATTAAGTGTTTTGCAGAATTGACAATGGGAGAGGTTACATTCAGCATCTAAGTAGTTGTATGTTTTACCACTAACTTGAGGCCTTGGAGCGAGGTTTCTGATGGTGGCTGAGGTTAGGAGATCGTTGAGAGAAGGGTTCCTTCTGTAGGCTGTTAGGTAGGGTTTGGGAAAAGCTTTGTTGCTGTCGTTAGAACTGGAAAGGATGTGCCAGTTATCTCTGAAGATTTTGCTGATAAGGACCGAATGGTGTTTTGGTTTTGTTGAGCAACGTGCTTCGTTGTATGGTATCGGCTTTGGATTTATTGGATAGGATTGTATCTTTGGGATATCCTCGTTTGAGGTAATATTGTACCAGATTGTCTGCGTGTTTGTTATAGTCGACAGGGTTAGAGCAGATACGTTTAAGTCTGAGGAATTGACTGTGTGGTCCCTTCGTTTTGATATGGGGTGGGTGACACAAGGTGTACGAGAGGTACGAATGGGTGTCTGTCGGTTTGCAGAACAGGTCGGAGAGTTTATTAGTGTGTTTATTGTAAACAACCCAGGTGTCAAGGAAAGAAACTCTATCTGTTGAGTGCTCGGCGGTGAACTTGATGGTGTTGTGGTAGGCGTTCATCCGTTGGAGGAAGTCCTGTACTTTGGGCATTCCATGAGTCCAGATGATGAAGATGTCGTTTATATATGAGACGTAAACAAAAGGTTTTTAGGGCATTTGATCTAACATTTCCTGTTCAAGCTCGCTGAGGAAGATGCAAGCAAAGCTGGGCGCAACTTTTGTGCCCATACTGGTGCCCCCGGTTTGTAGGTAGTGTTTATTGTTAAAAACGAAGTTGTTTTTGGTGAGGACTAGTTTGAGTAATGCTAATAAATGTAGAGGGTTGATTCTCCAGTTGGGTTTATTGGAGTGGATACTTTTGGCTACTGCTCTTAAGCCTTCTTCATTGGGGATGTTGGTGTAAAGGGAGGTAACATCCATAGTCAAGAGGATGATGTCTGTCTCTGAAGAGAGGTCAACAGATTCCAATTTTCAAATAAAGTGGGTTGTATCTCTAATATAGCTGGGGTAGAGGGGAATGGACTCTTTGATATGTTCATCAATGAAGCTGCTAATGAATTGAGTTGGGGTCCCGTTGCCACTGATGATGGGTCTGTCAGGGACCTTGAGGTTCCAAGTTTTTGTGAATTTTGGGTAGGAGGTAAAAGCGACCTGGTTTGGGGTTGTCTACTATGAGGCCTTTCAGGAGTTTCTCGCTGATTTGTCCTGATTGGTATATTTTAGTTATGAGGTTGGTGATTTCAGTGTTGAATTCCAGAGTGGGGTCCGTATCTAGTGATGTGTAAAAGTGTCGATTTGAGAGTTGTCTATGAGCTTCTGCGATGTAGGCAGTTTTATTTAGGAGTACAACAGCGGAGCCTTTGTCGGCTTTTTTGATAATGATGTCAGGGTTGTTCTTGAGCTTGCCGAGTGCATTTCTTTCCAGTTTGGAGAGGTTATTCCTTTTGAATTTAATAACTTCTAAGTCTAGAAGAAGATTTCCATGTTGAGGTTTTGAACAATTTCTTGGACCATTCGGTGGATGGTGTTACGGTTGGTGTGGATCCGTTGTCTAGATAGTGATCTGGGACGGGTTCTCTTGCGGTTGGTATTGTACCTTGGTGTTCCTCTGTTGGGTCGATTAGGCCGATTGGGTGTGCTACCAGTGAAGTATTTTTTGGACTCCGCGAGGTTGGTAGGGTATATGGTGTTCCCATAGTAGATTCTAGGTCTGAAGGAAGGCGGTACGAGATTCTGCGAGATGCAGGTTTCGAAGAAGTCGACTTGTACTTGGGTACGTGCTATTTTGCTACGAAGGTTTCTGACCGAGTGAGCGTTCATCAGTCTGAAGAGTTCCAAAACGAACGAAACTAGTCACTGAAAATATAGGGATAACTGGTCTATTAAGCCAACCTTATCTCCTCAAAAGTTAAAATCTGTCAAATAAGTTCAAGATGGACCTTATCAGTAGATTATAAAAACAGAGTTTTTTAATATTTAAAAGTCACGCCCAGCTATTTTCAGTTCAGCTATAATTCAATGACCTTGTATAATAGTAACCAGTCAACTATTTATAACATAATGACTATAAACTACCCAGTAAAACAGTTCTTTAGATATTCTGGTAAAACAGAAACCATGTTTCTTCTGTAACTAGATAGGCTTGATGTTTTAAACAATTACTACATTATAGTATTTAGTATTATAGTTCTCAATACATATCTCATTTTGTTTCAATTACAGGGTTGAAAATCTTATAACCATATCTTTACAGCATAAAATATGACAAAATGTTCAGTGTATCATTCAAATTCACAATGTAGAATTATGACTATTGATAGGAAAAATACCCCAGAATCCTGTCTGGCTTAGGTACAAGGTCATCAGTCAGATATACCTTTAGATCAGAAATCATCATGACATTTTCTCGAAATAACCATACTAATAATATCATTAGATTGTAAGCTGTCTAAAGTTGCCCTCACACCGTAGTGATTGATTATCAGTTGTGTATGGTTGTGAATAAAGATATGTTTAAAACCCAACTCTCATGCAACTGAGTTGTGAGTTGCGTACAGATCTCGTGACAATTTTCATAATCGCAACAATATGCACCTTAAGAAATCAATCCAACTGTACCATACCCTTCTTCTCTTCAAGGAATGTTATTGAGTTTTTGAAAGATTTAAAGATAGTTTCCCTTATTTTCATTTATATATATATATATATATATTCGATTATTGGACGGCCAATACTTATATCAATCGAAAGTAGAGGTATTCTAATGAATGGGAAAAATACTGGTTTGTCTCTAAAGTCCCAAATTAGCCACTAATTACAACGAGGATTTCCATAGCGTGACTGTGATAAAAAAAAAACTGTCCAGTCTTTTTTCGAATAACCAGTGTATACAGCCAGGGACATCCGTGATTGGTTAAAAATCGTTCAAATATGCGCCCAACAACAACAATATGGCGGCTCGAAGAATGCACAGTTTACAATTTCAAAAAGCTTCAGATTCAGAAAATAAAGGGAACAAAGAAGAAATGGGATCAAAAAATCCAAGAACATGTTTAGATAAGGATGTCTATGAAGCATGATTTGACCAAGGAAAATGAGCAAAGACATCTTTAAGGATTATATAGGATCTAGATCAGACCACAGTAAATTCATAACAGTTTTCAGTTAAAAAGCTTATAAAATACTACTTACATTATCATCAACAGAGAATGTGAGTTCAGCATCATCATATAACACAAAAAATCTTCTCTGCCATCTCTGAAAATACAAAAACAGAAACTGGTCATCTTGGCTTTTAGTTCTGTATATCAAACAAAACCTCTGAAATGGGAGAAGAATGGTGACTTTTGGTAGTGATAATTTATTACAGAAACTTAATAATACAATAGCCTTATAGATTCTATAAAAGAGACACTGGGTCCCAATCACAAGGAAACAAAATTCTAAAAATGCAAGAATATTTACACCTAAAATGTAGCTATATTTGTAGTCTTATTTGAATTTCAAAATTTGACCAATTCGGCTAAAATGACCAAAAGTGAACATTTGTTTGGTTTAATAATTTTATAATCAGACCATATAACCAATAGTGCAATACATAAAAGCTGAGCAAAACAGTTGTTTCTTTTGAAACAGATCACAAGTCAGTATTCATTTAGAATTAGTTTAAGTCACAGAAAACAATCCATACAGAACTTTGGAAACATAGCAAAAAATGTATATACACATGATAAAACAACTGTTCAATTATTTCAAAAATGTCAATAGCGGATTTTAAAACACACAAATTTCACACCCCTAGTTTTATTATTTAGATCAATATGTTGTGTGCATAGCCGTGTAAATCAACAATTCTTGTTGAATTTTAACCAATAAATAAATAGAAAGTAAGACACAGGATCAAAGTCTTCAATAAAAGATGTCCAACATTTCTTTTTCACTCACTTTTATCAATAAAACGTCACTTCAATTACATTTCTTTTCATTGTTCAAGTTTTGCATTTTCAGCAAAAAAAAACAAACAGCAGTAAAGCTCTGCTCTATGGAAGGGTTTTTGGGTCTAAATGTATTCCGAGTTATCTTTCCGTGTGAGGTATTACCGCGTGTGAAAACTTTTTTTATGGAAGCCACGCCTTTTGACCTCATTTGCATATTGCGCAGAGAAATGTTGAAAATGATATGTAGAAAATGATATGTTTAAAATGATAATATCAAAATGATATGTAGAAAATGATATGTAGAAAATGGTATGTTTAAAATGATAATACCAAAATGATATGTCGAAAATGATATGTTTAAAATGATAATACCAAAATGATATGTAGAAAATGGTATGCTTAAAATGATAATACCAAAATGATATGTAGAAAATGATATGTTTAAAATGATATGTAGAAAATGATATGTAGAAAATGGTATGCTTAAAATGATAGTACCAAAATGATAATACCAAAATGATATGTAGAAAATGATATGTTTAAAATGATAATACCAAAATGATATGTAGAAAATGGTATGCTTAAAATGATAGTACCAAAATGATAATACCAAAATGATATGTAGAAAATGATATGTTTAAAATGATAATACCAAAATGATATGTAGAAAATGGTATGCTTAAAATGATAATACCAAAATGATATGTCGAAAATGATATGTGTAAAATGATAATACCAAAATGATATGTCGAAAATGATATGTTTAAAAGGATAATTAATACCAAAATGATATGTAAACGTGTAATTAGTGAGGAAATGACCAAACACATTTGTTTTATCACAATCTACTAAAGCAATATGACAAAGTTGACGGTATCATAATAAGTATTAGACAATTTAACAGAGCATCTTCTTTTGACCCAAAAACCCTTCCATATTAAATAGTATTGAATAATAGGAGACACAATTGGCAGTGAAAATGCCTGTAATTGCATTGCAAACATTAATCAGAAACTATCTTACGTCTATTAAGATGACAAGTATAAGATTTGAAGGAGTATTTGAATATGTAAATAAGAGGAGGTCAGTAAGTTGTAACTACAGTCCATCTCAATGAGTTTAAACTTTCTATGACCCTGTGCTTATCCGTTAGGAACACTTTAATCCCTTAATCTTTTATTGTTCAAATCACTACCTTAGTGTTCATACATCCTTTTTACAATTTTTAATAAGTTTTTAATCAAATTCTAAATACTTGATTTCACTTAGTCCTAATACTAGTTTGAATATCTTAATCAATACAAAATGCAGAAATAATGCTAGCCTCCTGAATGCCTTATGGGGGAGAGCCAACTTTCAGTATTGAAATTTCAAATTTGGAAGCATATAGGGGCATGCCTGCAAAGGACGGTCTAATGAGGTTCTCTCTAAGAAAAAGAAAATATCTAAAAGATGCATTGATCACTCTGACACATATTTGGGGCAACAAAGTATAAACATCATATTTTGAAATTTCTCATTGATGAAGTGGAGAACAACTGGGGATACAAAATATATTTCTGGTTAGACAAATGTGTAGAGTGGACAATCTCACTCATTGTTTGACATCAGATGTTCAAAGAACTGCCACATAAGTCCAGTTGTCATATGATTTGAAAGATTTAATACCAAACCTGGTATTCTTCTGTATGCTACTTTCAAGACAAGCCATTACAGGTGAATTGCATTCATGTACATATACTCATTCAACTGTCAAAAATACATGATTTGTATTTTGAGTAGGTTTTAATATGTACTACAATGTCTACATTACATTTTATATATAGTACGACTACACCCTTTTAAGCATTAACAAAATCTTAGTGAAAGTCCATCAAATCCTTTTTTAATTAGATTTCACCCATTATTGTTCTTTTATCTTCACATGAGAAACTTTTGCAGCAGATTAAACAGATTTTAGTAGAATTTAAAGTTACAGACTAAATACTCAAACCGTAGCTCTGTTAAAAGTAAAGTAGTAAATTTTGAAGACTAAATCCCTTGAGACTTGTAATATTCACGTCAAAGTAAGTGAAACCAGTGAAAACTGTCTTACACTAAATTACTCACATAATCTTACCTACTTCAACCTTTCTTAAACCTGTCATTTTCTTTAGTTCTGCTTCATATAACATACTATAACAAATAGGTAAACACTTGGTTTAACATATAACTGCATGTTTAATGACAAGAACTCTTGCATGTCTAATGGTAACATATTATTTCTCAAAGTCACAGTCCCAAAAGTTGTGAATGTACAAGCAAAAGAAAGAATAATTTTCAGCAACATCTAAAGCTACATACTATGTATTTTATTATGCTTTTAAAACATGACATGCTCTGCTCTACTTATTTGCCCATTGAATTTCATAATTACTCAATATAAACTATGAAATTCTGGAATGGTCAACAGGAAACAGGTTTTTATCGTTCTTTTTTATCTTGTTTCTAATTTGCAAGCATTATGCTTTTTGTATAAAATTTGTGTAATAAAGCAGCAACAATTGCAGTTATCTGGAACCTGATTTAATCAAAAGTATCATTAAGCAAAGATGCAGATGCTTCAGATGACTGATCAGTATCCTTTTAGTTCTTGCTATGGACAACCATTGTATTGTCAAGTCTGTATATTATATTTATTGCATGTAAGAAGTCATATACAAGTCATGATTTTACAAAGTTGAAGAATTTAGAACTGAAGTTCATAGTGGTTAGTTTAAATTGCCACATTGACAAATCTAACCCAAGGATGTTTATTCATTGTGTCAAAAGTTTAGAATGATCCACTTTAAAGTAGAAATTTTGCATACAGAAGACAAAAATTTTTGTTCCATGTTAGTCGGTGACTCCAGAATGAGACAATATCTGAAAGTCTTATATCATAGACCAAATCATACTAACCAAAATAAATATTTAATTGATGGGGTCAGAGTAGAAATTAACAACTCTGTTATGTCATTACATCTTGTCATTGTGTCGTCATGTCATCATGTCACATGATATATAAAGACAGCTTCCTTTTCATCTGGCAGAAAACTGAAACCAATCTTTATCATACCCATAAATCATGCATTCTAATAAATTTTTTCTACACAGAGAGGGTCACAAGCAAGGCAAATCATCTTCAACTGTCAAAAATACTTCAAATAACCCTACTCTTTGTCTTTCTCTTTGTTAAGTTATGGTGTGGGTACACAAGTGGTCTTAGTCAGAGATTTTTGATGCCTACTAATTTCTTGACAAGAGTTTCACCAACGATCGCTTGTGGGCCTGCACCTTTACCTTCCACTCAATAAAAGCCACTTACCCGAGATCTGTCCAATGGACTGTTGAAGTCAAAATCAGGTGCCACAAACAAGTATCCACATTTTGATATCTTTCTACTGGCCTGAAAGAAAAAAAAATTAAGTTATAAATGAGAGTGAAATAAAGATAAATCATGTAGAGAGATATTATAGAAGTTTACCGATATTTTTTATAGAGAACAGTCTGCAATCATATGACCCTAAACTTTTCAACAATTTAGGCCATTTACCCTTAACCACAATAAATTGATTTATATAGTTTTCGAATTAAGTTTAGGGTACAGCTAAAGTAGGTTATCATTTGTGTCTTCTGACTATTGAACATTGAAGAAATCACATGAAAACACATTGATTTTTATACTGGCTCAGAACAAATTCACTTTTCACCCTTTAATTTTCAAAAAAGTTTTTCATTGACATATTCAATCTAATTTCTGAAGAACCAAGAAATGCCTTTACCTTACATAAAGGATGTGATGTGATATGAAAGAGTTGTTTTGATACAGTGCTCTAGAAAGAAAGAAGTTTACTTTATTTTACCTTATTAAGTAGAAGATATAGTAAACAAAGTAAGAAGAGGTAATTAGGTTGACCTGAATACATCTTGAAGATGACTAACATCTTAATGAATTCCTGGACAGGTTTTTACTGGATTATATTCTCTACTATATATCATGTGCACTACAACATTAGATACTACCATATTCTAATAACTTTCAAACTTACACAATGTCAACACTAATTCTCTAAGTTTTTCTGAATGAGATATAATTCAAATATCTGACATAATATAAAGCAAAGTAACAGAAAATTGTAAACTTGGATTTGATGGTGAAAACAAAGGTATCATTTCTAAGTTGGACAGATTCTGAGAGCACCTTGATATTCATCTACAGCCAACATCTGGGAATCAGATCGATAATTGTATCAAGTTGACATGTATGACTGATAAAAAAGAGTTTTGCTGGGTACAATTAGCAGCCATCGAGTTAAAGAAGTTGTTACAGCTCCTATCAACTATGACAGAACAAAATAATGGCAGTGAATCTCTAGTTAATCCACAGACTCCTTTAACACAACAAAACTTTGCACCATTCTTAATTTAGAATAAAATGTAAATGGACTTCTTGACTTGATCACATGAACCTCAGAACCCTTTAATACTTTATACCTAATTTTTTCTTCCAAAAATAAGTGAACCTGAACAACTCAATTCAATACCTTATTAATCTACCATTTCATATTCAAATGCTGTTGAGTTTAAATTCAAATTTTGAAAACATCTTTGTGTCAATTTCTGTGAGAAACTACCTCTCCAGTTAGGATTTTCTCATATCAAATTTTGTTCTCATCAGTAATTTTTTCATGAAATCTAACTTTTCATTTTTGTATGCAGGTTAATGACAGTCAAGATAGCATTTTGTTATAAAGTAGACATTAACACAGGATGTGTCTGAAAGTTCAATATTATAACTATCTCATAAAAATATTTTTATTAAATTCATTCACTTTTCCAACTGAAATACATCTAAACAATACAAGTCTTAAACAAAGAGGATGGTTTCATTTTATGGTTATTTTTTCTTGGTCAATAAATTAACTTAATAAATTTTCAGGTTTATTGGCCTTGTATCTTATTATTCATCTATTGATAAACTGAGACCATGACCTCTGACCTGTAATTTGACCTTTCACACCTGATGGCCTTAAATAATAGATCAGAAGTATAATCAATGAGCTGATCTCATACCTGAACTTTATTAATCAATCTGTATTTTATCAAAATGAGTTGGAGAGTTGGAATAGAACAAGAGTTGTCAAGATGGTATTGAATCAGGTTTTCTGTTTCATTTTAAGTACATCAAAAAGCCTTATCCAATTTCCTTTTAATTACACACGCCATTGTTTCTGCAATATTGCATGAACACATCCAAAACCAAAACTAATCAAAATAAGATAGTGATTATCTAGAAATACAATCTTTAATATATTCAAGTAATTCTTTACATTATAACCTTGATCTGTACTCACACATACTGTATTTTATCACTATCACTGTAATTAAAGATGTAAGCCATAACTCAGCTAAAAGTAGTCTTTGGTCATATTATCAGACCAAGATAAGACTTTTTTTTACACAACAATTTTCATATGTACACATCTTTTATCTAAAAAATCGCATTACTCCTCATAAAATATTTCAAACTAGGAATTTTACTCTGTATTTCTATATAAGTCTTTTCTATATATATCAGAGTATCATAAAATGACGAGTCGTCTTTTTAACTTTTAAATGTAGATAAATCTGAACAGACATGGATTGATTTGAAGGCTCAAATTTCGATGGTGAGCTGTGAACATTATAACTGATTAAAGCTGAAAAATTTCAGTTTCTATGACTAAGGCACGATCAGTTGAAAAATGGCGCTACTGTCCCTTTGAAGCCTTTTAGTAATTTTAAGAACAGTAATCATAGATTATGATGTGTCTGCAGAAATAACACTGTCATCAAACAATCAAATTTTATCAATGGATAGATAAATAGAAATAAACATAGTCAATATTAGCTTTGTGGACTACCCTTATAATAAGGAATGCTGAGTTGACATACCCAGATGCAGAGGGACATCAGATGCCCCAAAAAATAATTGAGCTTTACTAGCTAAAGTCACTCAATTCAATTCAAGAAAGTTTCTGGCTTAAAATTACCAAAATAGTTTGAATTTTTCTTTTAAGAAGGTAAGATTATTTGGTTGAAAAAAATTGAGAACTATCTTTACAGTGTACTGATTTAAAAAACAAACATCAAGTTATAAATGGAATATTTAAAACTATAAAACTGCTTTTCTTTCTAAGTTAAAGCAAACAAATGAAGAGACAAGATGAAATCATAAAGAGAAACCTAGGACCAAAATAAACTGTGTAATCTTTAATAATTAATAAATATATTATATATCATAATCCTTCATCAATAGATCTGGAGCATGCCAGTGTTTTGTGGAATTAATGAGCTATATTCTAAGTTTAAAATTTGTCCAAATTTGGCTTCCTGTTTAGCAGGAATTCAAACTTAAAAGGCAAAATAATGGACAGTAGATGTAGTACTTTATAAACCAAAACATTCTATAAATAATGATAAAACAATAAGTAATTCTTTTAATACTGTCAACTCTCTCTTTGTACTTATTTCTATCAAGTGGTTCATACTTAAAACATTTCCTCTCATCTCTCCTTCATTCATTTAACAATTTCCTAAACTATTCTTTTAATTCACAACACGTGGCCCATTTCTGTCAGCAACCTTCAACCTTACTAAATTTTAAGTGGAGTTATTTCATGTCGTGTGTCACCAAGTTATTTTCTGTGTTTTTCACAAAGCATCAATCCCATTCTTTTTGTGTGAAATTTAAACAATTTTCAACACCTTTGCCCACTGTTTACGGCAATGTGTTGTTTATTTGTTTCTTGGTTAAATTCAGGCAAATATGATTTGCATAACTCAGTCTCAGAAATAAACAAGTATTAAACAATGGGATGAAAGACTGCCATTGTCTGAATAAATAGAATGAAAGTAAAATTTTATGTCCTACTTCTATTGTTCTAAAATCAAATTTGAAAGCAACATGCATTGTAAATCTGAGGAAAATTTGCCTGCACAGACAGTGGCACAGACTTGTCTACTCCTTCAATCAAAACGTTTAAATGTTGTGGATCTGTCACCAACACAGTGGGTCTTGTCCTATCAAAGAATATTTAATTTGAGAATGACCAGAGATCTTTACTGAGATCTGCTCCATGTTAGAAGTAAGTGTGTCTGAATGCCAAATTTGAAGTACTCTTGATTATATTTACTAAGATGTCTTTCAAGAAAATTGGCAAATATCATTCTGAAGAGGAATGGAAGAAAATTAACAATTAACAAAAGAAAACAAATATCTTTGTGTAGGGCCGAACTATTTTAATCTTTTTAATCAAGAGATATTAACAAGGTTTACAAGAACGAAAATGACCATTGAACAAGCCTTCTCCATGATTTTTTTTCTTTATGTTGACCATGTGGAAGGATATAGAAGGTCTTAACAACTTCTAACTATATATACAGTAAAATCATTTGGTCAACAGACCAACTAACTGGGCAACAGTCAATATTTACTCCTTGTTTTTCATTTATTCACAAATTCTCCAAATCTTACAGTCATTCCTTCGGAAGTGCTTTCATTACTTCACTCTGCTACATCTGTTGTTGTATATTTCAAATATTTTATCTGTTACTTGAACTTAATGCACAAGGAGTATCAATTTTTTATTTACATGCTGATATGACCAATATCAGGAAGTAATCAGTAATACCTGTATGTTAAATGTTATGTCACTTGGTCGCAGCAAAATACTCTAGTATGCATATATGATATATGTTCACTTGCAAGGCTATCTCAATTCTGGAATTGGCACAGAAAGCTGTAAAGGAATTTCTTAAACCACCACATAATAATATAATCATGCATAAAATTACTGATTCTATTTTTACTTTAATTCTAGATTTCAAGAGATTATATATTTCAACACATATCTACATTGAACTAGACTTCAAAACTTTTGGTTATATTCATATAAAAATTTGAGGTTAAACTTGTAAACAAGTGGTTGCCCACTTCCATGATACATTTTCAGAATATGAAGGGTGGTCACCAATAACTCAAATCCGTTGATTGAAAAATCAAATAAATTCAAACTGGACCAAGATTTCATTGTAATAGATTATCACACCAAATTTTTCTCAAGTCAAGATTTTAATTTCTTTATAGTTTTCACAAAAAAATTACGATACATTTTTACAGATAATTGAAGAATTGTTCATTTTATACTACACCAAGATAACAGGAGTCTCTCTATTGTGTTCACAAACAAATTTTGAGAAGTTTTACCTTCGTCATGGACTATAACTCAAAAACCATCGAAAGATTACATATGATCACACGAATTTGATTTAAATCGGATCAAACTGTAGTCTTAATTGTGTTCACAAACAAATTTTTATGCATTTTCGTAAGTTAAGGACAATAACTAAAAAAACAGTTCATTGAAAATTCGTCAAATTCAAATTTGTCCAAGATCTCATCAATATAAAATGATCACACCAAATTTCATTAAAAATTGTGTTCACATGTGGGCATATAAAAATATACAACACAAGACAGCCTTGTAAAACAGACCAGCTTATTTCTAGGATCTATTTCTAGAATTCTTTGTTGTTTATTTTATTTCTGTACAATTTGAACCTAAAATGGCCCAAAAAACAAAAATAGCAGGCTTTACATCAAGTTTTTTTAGCCTCAGGTATCAGTCACTATCAATCAAAAAAAACTTCTGTTTAAAAACTAAAGAACCTTTAAGTATACTGGAGGGCAAAATTTCCATTTTATGTCAAGAAAAAGTGTATTTCATTGCTCACAGGTTTATTTCTGCTTTGTTCGAAGTTAAATATAGCACTGATCAGATACAAAATTTGAGATCGTAATTTTCATATGGTTAAACAGTATTGCTGGAACTTATCCGTTTTCATATACTTAATGGTCAAAATATGGAAAATTTAACAGTGAATA